AGTGCATGATAGATTTGGTATCCGTTTATTTTAATATACATTTGATCTGTAAAATGTGTTTCCGAAACCAAACATACATCAATATGCTGGGTTTCTAATGTAACTTGCAACTCCTGCTGGTGTTGCAGAAGTCCATTTGCATTCCACTGAAGTATTCGCAAATCACTTACCAGCACGATTTGATCGACGGCTTTGCAAGTTTTCCAATTGGGCCAGTCTATCAAGTATAGATTTATTGAACTCTTCTTGTCTTTTTTCCTGCTGTTCAATCTGTTTCATAATTTTTTGTAGCATTACTGTTGTAGAATCAGCACTACTTGTTCCTTGAGCTTGACCTAGTCCCCTTGTTGTTTGGGAATATGTTATATCGTCTTCTACTTGTCTCTGTCCATGTTCTCTATTGTTGCTTGCTTCTGAATGCGGTCTATCTGGTAACTTCTTATTGTTAGCTTTGTTTCGTAACTCTTGTAGCGTTATGGCTGTGGTGCATCCCCTGTAGCTGGCAGGATGCGCCTCGCCACAGTGTATTCATTTGGCCGGGGTATTGCTAGGTTTCTTGCAGTCTTTTGTGTGATGCTTGCCAGCACATTTCCTGCATCTCGGTTCTTTTCCACAATATTTTTGGGTATGTCCATAATCCTGACAATTTTTGCACTGCGGAATAAGTTTGGGTTTTTTGAATGGCTCTATTTTGACTTTCATATGTAAAATGTCTCCAATTTCGTACATTTTTTTAATGCCTTCTTCTCTGCTGAAGGTTAACACAAATAAGGGTAACGGAGTTTTGTCTTTGCTTCTCAAAAGCTGGTAAACATCCAATATTTTAAATTTTTTATCCTTTAGATCTGCAGTGATATCTTCTATTTTGCAGGTGTGGTGTAAATTTCTAACCACCACTTTGATTGGTCTAGACTGTTTGTCTTGAAAAGAATGCCATTCAATATTCATATTTTTGACTACAGTTGTTAAATTCCTATAGTCGCTTTCGTCATTGACCTTTATTTTTATCTTTCCTCCAGCAAGCATGCTTGTCTGGAACTTTATTTGATTTTTCACCAAATCGTCAGTTAAGCCATTGTAATTATCAATTTTGCTAATAATTACTGGTGGAGGTTTCTTTTCTGTATTGTTTTGCTGCTGTTGTAGAGTGTTTTTTATGATGTTACGTTGCAACGGTTCTTTTGGGGAACTGCTTGCTTTTCTCTTTTTTGCATTCCTAACCCGATTCCACTCCGTTTCCTTGCTTAGTTCTTCTTCGTCTGTGCAGTATGCATCTTCCATTTTTTCAATGTTTGTGTTTGATAATTTACCCTCTAATACTGTATATTTGACCATGAGTTCATCGTACAACTTCAGCATAGCATTTAATTGGGATTGAAGTTGTTCAACTTTATCATTGTCTTCAGTTTTTTCATTGTTAGACACTAATTCTTGGGAAATCCCCAATATAATGGGTTTATTTGGAGTGTGCAATATTGCATTGCTATACATTATGTTCTGTTTTGATTTTGTTTAGTCACCGATAACCTACGACACGCACGTCGATCGAGCACCACTCGCACATTTATTCATGAAATTCTCGAAATTTTTACTCCGATAACTAATACGTGTTCACCGTTCGATAGCCAAAGCGATACTGATGGCATATTGATCTAATTCATCTAGTCGTAAATATGGTACCATGTACAAGTCAGGCTGGGTCAGTAAGGGTGACATAACTAACGTTTAATGATGTTTATCAATTTTCACTATTTTCAGTTCAGTAAAGACGATTGACAACAGTCTTGACTGTGACAGTGTTTACAGTTTTGATAATTTGATTATTTACGACGATACGATACTTCGATTCGATACGAGTACTTTATTTCGATACTAAGTATTGGTATTTTTTAAATCTGAATTTAAAAAATCAAAACCCGAAAATGTCAAAATTTGACATAAATCATTTTTTTTATGAAACACTTTATTTGTTATTTCACTTATTTATGAATGAATTCGATTGGTTTTGAAATGCCCAAATGTAGTAATAGAGAAATTGTCGCTTTACTTGTGACTTTTCTTGAAACGGTGCAGGTTTTAAGTGTACTAACAGGCTTTTACTGAATCTGGAAAATATTTTTCAGCGCTTGAAGGTCTTAATAGAGATGCGTGAGAACCTGTGTCTATTAATAATTAAATGTAGTTTGGAATTTCTATTTACGGAAGTTGACTAATTTGGAAACTATTTAAATTTGACCATGGTTTTGTTGTTGCGAGGCTCGTTTCTAAAAATTTTCTAATGAATCGATTATGTCTTCTTCAGGAGAAAATGCTTCACTGCCGTTTTCTCATTCGGGTAATAATCTCCTTCGTAATATTCTACTTGATTTTCGTATTCCAATTAATCATTGTCCTTTTCTAAATTCTTGAAAATTAAAAGAATTATTAATTATTGTATTCTAACATGTGTGTGAAATAAATTATTGAAAAGTGAAATTCGGGTTTCCATTGGGTTGGAAATGATACGCTCCACCCTGATGTAGGAAATTTCTTTGAAAAGGTGGATGTCTAATTTGTGAATCCCTAATAGTGGTCACACCTGACATTGATTGAGGATGTTGTTATTTGTTCTGATTAGGATTCTTGTGAAATTGTTGGTTTTGGGGTCTTTGTTGATTAGACTGGGTTTGTTTGAATTTATTGCCATGAAAATTGATTGAATGATTTGCGAACGGTTTAAATTGTTTTTCACTTGGATTTTGAAAACATTTGTTGGGGAAATGGTTTGAAGTTTGAGGCTTGAAATGTGATTTCAAAATTTTGGTCCAAATTTCCTAATTTGTGATTATGTCAATTGCTGTGTAAAGATGTTGAGGATTTTGAACAATTAAGATAGTTATTAACGCAGCTGAAATTTCGCGTTGTGGTTAATTCGTTCTGACTTATTGATATTGATCGTGCGTATTTCTCACTTCAGTGCATATTTTTGTATTTATCCGAGTAACTAAGGCTTTGAGTTTTTGAATATAGTCTTGAGTTAACTAATTCTTTCTGTTTAAGAAAATTAGTTGTTGAAGATTTGACCTGGTGATTGGGTCGCTGAATTTTTGTCTGAGTGTCAATTTTATTTCTGGCCAATTTATTAATCCTGGTCTTGTGAGAAGGAAAGATTCAGCAGAACCAATAATTTTTATTTAATTGCCAACATTATGTACCTGCTCTTGTTGCAAAATATGGTAACTAAAATATCTTGAGTTGAATTTATTAATTTGATTTGGAAAACATTCCAATCTTGATTGAGTTCTATCGAAGGTTTTTTATAAAGTTACGGTTGATCTCAAAGCGTCGGGCATCTCGCAGATTTGTATATTCTTAGAACTATTATCGATTGATATGTTCAATATTGTTTCTAGACTACTATTTTCTGATTGTACAACTTATTGAAGAATTATCTTCAATTGATTTTCTTTAAGAATATGTTATTTCCGATAATCTATCTGGTTTTTAACTTTTTAATTTAAGTTTCTTTATTTAATTTTCGATCAAAATGAAACATGTGAATTTCTTGAATCTTAATTAACAGACTGTCGAACTATTAGAACGATCAACTTACAATATGTCAAGTCTCTGGACTGCATCAGAACGACAGTTTGCTGGGCAGATATCTTATGACTCAATTCTCGTTTCTGCTGTGGCTCGTTTTATATATGAATTATGATGATCATAACAGAAACGATACTGTGTCTTAGTTTAAATGTTTGTTCGGCGTAAGTGGCCATATAATTGTAAGTAGCAAATTCGTTCCACCACAATATGACAATTTCATAATGTTGGTTTTTTACTCAAATTTGCTTGAAATGCCTGGAAGATCATTGATGAAAACTTACTAGAAGTTTGCGTACAATTTGCCTCAAATACGACCCAAGCCGTACTGAGACAATCATTTGTAATTCACATGATGTAATGCTTGCCTTAAATATATTTTATAAAAAATAGGTCAAAAACAGAAATATTATATTTTACCTGGGATTTCAAGTATCACGTGACACTAAAAATGTAGCTTTAAAGGCTTAAACTTTGTAATATTAATCAAAGTTTTTGATAATCAAGTAGCTTGAAAATGCGATTGTTACTGTCATGGAAACAGAATATTCATAAATTGTCATTTCTTACATTTGCGAAATATTGACGTCAACGATTTCGGTTTAGACTATTTGTAGAAATGGCAAGAATAAAGGTAGTTGATAGACCGCCACGTAAGTATTTTTGCTATTATTATTTCTGATATCTGTTTTACTGTTACCTACATCTTCATGCAGTCACAGTTTCTTTCTGCCTGCAGCGGTGAGTGATGGCAGCGTCTGCAAATTATAGTACCTGTAATCACTGCATTTTGATAAAAACATTTTTTATATTTGAATGTAAGATCGATAATTTGCAGTCAGTCAGGTGATTATGCAGAGTTAAAGGTGTTGTTCGTTTAAAAACAGTTGTACTTGTATGCTTTTCTTACAAATGACTTGATTTTAAGTACAGTCTTACTTATGGTATCCCAACTTATCATGGCCTTAAAAAATTGAACTGAAAAATTGCGACTAACACCAGACTTATCGTTAATTCTTCATTCATTCATTTCCTCCATCGATACCTTTTAACCTTTGATATATTTTCGCACCATGTTATGCTGCCTGTTGCTTTGGCTTTTAAACTCAAGATCAGATACTATCTGGTTTGTAGCATACATATGGATACTTTTAATTAAAACGAGATTTATTTAAGGCATTTTTGTCTAGAATAGGCGAACTTCAGATATGCCTTATCTAAAATATTTCCCTTTGGTTTCAATTTAAATTTTCAAATGTTTTAATTTTTTAAATTTATATTTAAATTTCACGTTTTTAATGAAAATAACTAAACTCTAAAATTTTACAAACCGCAATTGGCATTTCAAACTGCTTTAAATCTGTGTATCTGTTAGTTTTTATTTCACCGTTTAAGCACCACCATAATTCGTTAATATTAACTTTTGGACTAAATTACGTTCCGCTCAAATAGTTTTATAAATAAATATTTTTTACTTTATAATGTTTAGTTTTAATGATATTTGTTTTGAATTCAGCAGTTGGTCTGAAATCCAGAAATATGAAACGAAAACTCCTAGCCGATTTGGGCGGAGCTGGCAAGAAGAGTAGGGGAATAGACTTGGCAACTCCCAAACTGCCCCCTCATGGGTATCCTTTAGACCACCCGTACAACAAGGATGGGTATCGCTATTTACTAGCTGAACCAGACCCACATGCACCGTTTCGGCAGGTATTTCTAAATGAGCAACAAACAGTTGAAGTCAAAGTATTATTGTCCCATTTATTTTAGGAATTCGACGAAAGTTCAGACTGGGCTGGAAAACCGATTCCTGGTTGGTTGTACAGAACGTCCATTCCAAGTACTGTTCTCCTGGCCCTTCATGACAGAGCACCTCAATTAAAAATTTCGGAGGATCGCTTAGCTGTAACTGGAGAAAAAGGATACTCTACTGTCCGAGCTACCCATTGTGAGCATTTAACATGTTAAAGTTAAACAGGCAATTTGCCTCAGTAGTGTAAGAACCAATTTGTAATTTCAGAAAAACTCGAAAATTATGAGTATTTCGTTTTTCATGTTTGAATCTAAAGCACCTTTATTGAATTTTGGAGATAACGTCTCAAATATCATGGTTGTTTTTCTTAGTTGTTACCAAAGGCTGTTGGTATTGGGAGGCAACTATTGAAGAAATGCCAGAAGGATCAGCAACCCGCATGGGTTGGGGTCAGGACTATGCAAACCTACAAGCGCCTTTAGGGTATGATAAGTTTGGATACTCGTGGAGATCTAAGAAAGGAACTAAATTTCACGAGTCTCATGGAAAACATTATGGAACTGGTTACAGCGAAGGTGATACCGTTGGTTTTATGATCGTTATGCCACAAAGCAACACTACCAAGTTAGTTCCGAATACCTATAAAGACAGGGTTAGTTTCTTGAATATTTAAATAATTTGACTAAGAATGTATCGTCATCTCCGTATGACACATTTAGTTGACCGTAATCATCATACATGTTATAACCTATTTCAACCGAATTCGGCAAGTAATAATATGAGACGGGTCAGTCTCGCACAGAGAGACAAGGGGCTTATTAATTACATTAAATTACTATATATTTTCTATTTTCTTAGTTAAAAGGGATAAAGAAAAATTTCTTTATAGGCGATTTATTTAAAGTTTACTTTAAATTAGAGTAGGCCATGGAATGCTGGTGGCCTAGAAACTTAAAACTGTTGTGTTTATGTCAAAAGATACGGGATGTTAATTGGTAAACTTAGTCAAAATCAGTGAATTAGTGGCAGTAGATGCCGAAATATGTTAATGCAAATAATTATAAATTGGGTGCAGCGGGCGCGTATACTTTTCCCCTCAACCAGCAGCGTCCCCCATCACTCAACCGCTTTTGTGAGCTCGGCCGTTTTCGCTCATATTCAAGATTCTGTTTTGCCCACTTAACCGCAGTATATGGAAAAAACTTGAATATACGTTTTGTTTCTACTCATTTAGTTTCCAAATCCATATTCTAAATTCCGATCGGACAATCTCAGGAGCAGGCGGCCTGGGCGAAAAATCAATAAAAAAAATTTAAATCGAAATTGTACGATGGCTATTAATAGAACCGAGTACAGCTTTTATACACATAAAGGAAATATAAATAACTACCCTTGCGCAAAATTTAAGCGCTTGATTTTAAAAAATTGCCAAGTTTTCAGTTTTTTTAGAAAACGTAAAGTTTTTCGGCTTTTCCGAGTTTTCTCCTGTTATAATTATCCTATCAGGTAGATCGACCTCTCATTGTCTTCCTCATTCCATGCTCTACAATTCAACCATTTACACCAATCAGGTTGCTTCAATCGTGTTATTTTAATTTACAAGCAAGAAACTAAAAAAAAAATTTGTTGGAAATTGTTTATGAAAAATTAACAAATTACATTTGGTTGTCCAAAACATACCGGGAATAAATTACGGACTGCCCTGCACGTGGTGGCGTAGGTGGTTTTCCGATTTATGTCAAAAAACATATTATTTTTATCTTTGTTGCTTGCCCTATTCTCCCATAGCTTGCTTAAAATAATGTCTTTTTTAAATCTATGACTTTATACCAGAGATTTAGCTCTCATATTACTATTGCAACCGTAAACTGCACGTCGCATTTTTTAATATTTCTGAAACGACATTTAAAAGTAGCAAACACTACAGTACATTTTCCAACTTCGAAACGCAAAATGCTCAGTTGTTTGTCTACAAAATTCTCAAACACGCCCAAACTCATTCACCCCATGATACAATGAATTCATTGAATGATACAATTAATACATTGTTTCGTTTGGCTCTACCCGATTTCACGAATGACAGTAAGCTAAAACGCTGAAAATCAGAGATTTTGTAGACTTCGTAAGGGTATTTTTCTTCACAATAAGCCCAAATCAGGTCCCAAACGCGATTTTGAAAGCATTGAGCTATACAACACTGCAAACCATATCCTCATATAACTTTCAACTTTTGAACCATTGCGTTTTAAATTCAATGAAAATTTGTCTAGGTTACATATATTTTAAATGGGATCAGCTGTTCACTTTACCAAAGTGCTAACCAGTGACGTCATGGGCGCACGAAAATCGAGTTTTCGACCGATGAATATCCCACCTTGTATACATTGTATCATGCGTCTGCTTGATCCCGTTCAGTACTCTAAGTTCGATCCAGGCCACCATCGCTAGCGTCTTTTAGACGCTGCGTCTAACCTTGAGAATGAAACAGATTCCATCCTCGGCGATTGTCGCTTGCAGACGCTTGTAGCGGCTACAAAAATTCGCTCATGTGCAGAACTGTATTTAAAATAATGAGTTCCATTTTCGGCGTCTAAACTGTCGCGCTACAAAAGTCGCCCGTTTGCGGGTGCCCTTAGACTAGACCGTGTTGAAAAAGATGGTCCTTTTCAAATACCACATATAAAACCTTGCTCTATATCCTCCATACTAATATCGCTCTTTCACTACATTGTAACAGTAATAAGACGAAATAAATAAAAAAAAAGGTTCAAATACGCTTACCATAATTCTTCACTTCACTTCGCACAAATACAGACTAAAATGTGTTTCCGGAAAGTAGGTAAACATATTTGCCGATTTCGAAAATATTTAAGGCAACGGCATCCGGATGGCCGATACCCACACATTTTTGTTTGATTTGTTAGCAGAGACGGTATACAGACTACGTGTGCAATTTGTATGTAGCAAATTCGAAGCTTATTTGTACAATGGCGTTTTGTACAAAATGAGTTAATCAAATGCAATCTCTATATACAGGGTTATTTAAAATTGGCGTCATTCCTTTGGAGGTGTTGTCTGGCGCTGTTATAGGAGTACAGAAAAAATAGTAAAAGAAATTAATTGTTTTTTAAAAATGAGAAATTTGCAAAAACCCATATCAGAGATACGGCAGCAATGTTTTTTAAGGTAATCTGCCTAATTAACATTGCGCAAATACCTGTTGCTCCGTAATTATTTAAAACTCCGGTAACCATGGAATAACCAAACATTTGAATGGTTAACTCCAAACAAGCTAGTGCCTGTGTAATCTCCTTGTTATCTACTCTTAAAAAGCAGCTTCTCGTATTAAGTTAATTAACTTCTGCTCCATTTGTATCTCTCTGTGCTGTATGTATCGTACAAAATGTAGCCGGTATTTATTTGGTGCCTGGGAAAGTGTCAGTTATTGTGCTCTGAGTGCCCCTGGAAGGCCCTGATTCGATTATGTCCAATACTTGTT